CATATAGTTTTATATTTATTTATTATGTGGATTTTTGAGAAAATACAAAAGCTCATGAATGACATCAGTTTTTTAATCGAAGTTAGTAATTTTTTATTTACTGCAGTTTTAGACAAGTTAGGATCATGAAAATTTATACACATGTTCGTCAAAACCTAGGCCGCAAATGACAAAAATTTTATGTATAGTTATTATGTGTAGTTTTGCGCAATTAGTAAAAACAGGTGTCCGAAAACTTTTGTCTAGGGTGTGTATGTATTTAGAAACAGAATCCTTCCAGCATCTTTACTTTGCAATACATTCGTCAAAACAAGCTACAAGTATTATAATTTTTTTATGTATGTTTTTGCGTAGTTAACGAATTTAGAATGTCTGAAATTTTTGGGTCGAATGTAGACCGAAAAACCGAACCGAACCGTTCGGAGCTTTACTGCTAATCATTTTTCTTTAATATTTTCCAAATTTTAAACCAGGTTCTTCATATGTGAATTATGGAATTTTTTTCACTCCCAGGTTATAAATAATCTCTTCTTTTTTGATGGATCAATTGATGACATTATTAAAAAAAATTAGGAAGAATATTTTTAAGTACCAATAATTATTAATACATATGTAAACTCGATAAGTCGGCCAAAATTTTCACCCCATTTTCTTAATATTTAAGTAATTTAATTCGATAAGTCGGTTTACTCGATAAGTCGGTCATATGAGCTCACCCCCACATGACCGACTTATCGAGTTTACATATGTAAAATGAAGCATTTCTCAGTTCCTTAAATGACTTTATTGAACATGTATATGACATGACAATGGGTGCGTTTAAAAAGTTTTTGGTTTGATTAATATTGTATTTAATGAACATTCAGAAATTTCTATATTAACAGATTTTTTTCAATTTTATTAATTTTATTTGAAAGAAGGAATGCGAGTATAGTAACTATAAAACAAGCAATCGAGTGATATTGCATTATGATTTACTTTAATAATATAAAATAGACAAAATCAATATTTATAAAAAAA